ATATATATGTATAATATATACATATATAATATAATATAATAATATACATATATGTATATTATTATTTAAGAAACATTTTTGCAATATATAACACATATATATATACATACATATATATATATATATATATATATATATGTATAAAATATTCTTAGATCTTATATAAAATGGCATTAATCTAAAAAATTCCGAGAGAGTACACCTACATAGTAATACCATCATACAAAAAGGAAATTTTCTAACATTAATCATTCAATCAGTTACTGATGTAATTATTATAATATAATAGCATATTATAATAATATTATTATAATAACAGAAGTGTTAATTTTAATTCCTTTCTTTTAACTTTTAATTGCTATTTTAATTAAATATTTTTATAACTCAGTTTGCAAGTTTGTTAAACAACATGGCGAAAGCTTTACCATTATTATACGTGGTTGTATTTTCAGATATCTTTGAACGTGAATGCAGCATCGATGGGTATGTTCCTGGGCAATACGATGGGCCCTTACCTGTCCATGGAGATGTTCAGTTATGTGAGTCTCATGCCGAATATTCTCTTCATGGTCCTCTTCAGCCTGATACCTGAGTCACCCTATCATTATGCTCTTCACGACAACATCGATGAGGCCGAGGCATCTCTCAAATGGTTCCGACGAGAGGCTGACGTCAAGGCCGAAATACGGGAGCTCCAAGATTTCGTTGACGGTGCCAGCACTAACGTTTTAACGAAACTCAAGGCCTTCCTGTTACCAGGTATCCCAGAAGCGAAGTGAATTACTTAATGATCGTTTCTTCGCGTGAATCATTCTTTAATTTTGAAGTGTTTAGCATAAATATAAATTTTTATTCAAAAACAAAAGCAAAAAACATTTTAAAATTTGAATGATTCAATCCCAAAAGAAATCGTTAAAATTCATAATTCTTATATTTACAACATGAATTTTCAAAAAAGCACGAAGTGGCAAAAAAAAAGTTTCAAAGATCCAAGAATTTAAAGTTTTAAATATTTAATGCAGTAGTGCACAAATTTTTATGCTAGATAATATACAAGAATATTTTTAAAAATAATTTTAAAAATTATTTATTTTATCCTCTGTCGGTAATTTAAAATTTTCCTAGATTCCCATAATGGGTCTTCAAAGTCTACAGCAAATTTTTTTGTTGTTCCGTACTATATAAAACTCTGAAATAATTCATGTGTACTTGTGAAATCTTTAACAACAGGTATTTACTATAATAAGGATTTTTAGAGCAGGATATCAAATTTTATCATCTATATACATTTTCAAAATTTACAATAATTACAATCCAAAAATCAACTGTGCCTTAAAAGATTGCCGACTAAAAGTTAATTTACGTACACATAGTAAACAATACTCTCACGAGTAAACTAATAGAAAATCTCAATATTTAAGCGATTATACTAAACTTTTAGTTTAATTTCCAAAACATTGTTTTATCGATTTGTGCGTATGTATGTGTGCAATAACTGCAATGATGTAGTAGTGCGTATATGCTATATATAGGGTATCTACAAAGTCTCTTACCATCCTTATATTTTGGAAACGATTCAAAATTATGAAAAATCGCAAAAAAACGTATTCAATCGTTTCGATCAAAGGCTATTCTTTTAAGAGAGTTGAAGATGTTGCCTCTCCTTCTTTCCCCCAATGTGCAGCTCCAAGTAAACCCCACCTGAAAAATTTTTAATAAAATTCCTCATTTTTTATTGCATATTCTTATAGCTTATCTTGAGAGATTTTGAAAACGCTATAATAAAATATTTTTCTATTAAGCACTTTTTTAAGTTGTAAGATTTGAAAATTACAGTATCGCTGGCATTAGCATTATCTAAGGTGTCCGAACAATGACTAAAACCAGGGTTGTGTCGCAGATTTCAAGATTACGTCTACACGGATTATTTACGTGAAATCTACGTGAGGTTTATATGGTTTTTGCTACGTAAACAATCTAGACTTGTAAACTATGTAGAATATTGTAAATTGTGTCACTAACAGGGATCGGTAATATAACTGATACAACTTATTTAAAATAACAAATACAAAATAGATTCCAGAAATTTATTTAAAATAAAAGATTGCAGGGGTCAATAAAAAACTGATACGACTTATTTAAAATGAAAAATATAAAATAG